ATTTTCTGAATGTGTCTTTTCAAATACTCAGTATAGTTATAAATAACTTTTCCTTTTAATTCATTGTCTGACTTTTGAAACAAAACCATGTTTTATTTCACTGATATCTGATATGGAAAATCTCTCACCATAAAATCAAAATGGACTTTCTAAGTACATTTTTCTTAAGATGAACGTTTCATCAGTGCACATTATTCTGATGAAAAATATGTTTGTCTTCATGATAAATCATGAAAATGTATTTCCCTCTGCTTTTAAGAGACGTCTCTGTTCTGCTGACGTCACCAAGTCTCCATAGTTGGGGGAAATAAAATAAAGCAAAAATTGCTGTTAGTTACATTTTATGTATATATTTTTTTATGAATATTTCTTTTTTATATATATTTTTGATAAAATTGAGGTGCATTTTTCAAATAAACTTTATTATTATTTATTTTATTATTAATTATATTTTATTATTTTGTTATATATTTTATTATTAATATTAAGAGTTTTTGTGAATATTTATGAATTTGTTGCTATATTGGTATATTTTTTTTTAAACTTTTTTTTTTGGCAAAATGTGCAGGATTGTTGTCTGGAGGAACATGGCCCCCTCAGTGTCCCGGGGCCGGGGACGAGGGCCAGATTTGACCCCTGCTGGTCCTTTATGTTCCAGACTTTAGTGTTACTGAACCTCAGTGTTGCCCAGTGAAAGACTCCCCAAACCAGCCCGATCCTCCCGTTCCGCTCCGGCGCAGACATCTGTCTGCACGAGTGTGTGTGTGTGTGTGCAACGCGAGCCTGTGGGGGAACAGAAGGTTTAGCAGGGCTGATAGAGACGGGCAGGTTTGGCCATCATGACAAACTGAGCTTGTGCTTCATGAGAAGTGAAACACACACACACACACACGTGAGCTGGAGATCTGGATCTGTGTGACCAATACGATCTCACCTTAATTCGTGTGTATTTTATCAGATGGCTAAATTTTCACAACGAGTCATCAGGAAGGACCTCCTCTAACTCCGCCCCTAAAACATGAACGTACGAGTGAGTTTGAGTAAATTAGCCATCTAGATTACTGTGAGATTGTGTTTGTGTTACCGATTCAGGATGAAAGGCTAAGAAAGATGGATGAATGGATGGATGGATAGAGAGATGGATGGATGGATGGAAAGAAAGATGGATGGATGGATGGATGGATGGATAGATAGAGAGATGGATGGATGGATGGAAAGAAAGATGCATGGATGGATGGATGGATGGATAGATAGAGAGATGGATGGATGGATGGATGGATGGATGGATGGAAAGACAGATGGATGGATGGATGGATAGAGAGATGGATGGATGGATGGATGGATGGATGGATGGATGGAAAGAAAGATGGATGGATGGATAGAGAGATGGATGGATGGATGGAAAGAAAGATGGATGGATAGATAGAGAGATGGATGGATGGATGGATGGAAAGAAAGATGGATGGATGGATGGATGGATAGAGAGATGGATGGATGGATAGATAGAGAGATGGATGGATAGACAGATGGATGGATGGATGGATGGATGGATAGATAGATAGAGAGATGGATGGATGGATGGAAAGAAAGATGGATGGATGGATGGATGGATGGATGGACGGACGGACGGACGGATGGATAGATAGATAGAGAGATGGATGGATGGATGGATGGAAAGAAAGATGGATGGATAGAGAGATGGATGGATGGATTGATTGATAGATAGATAGATAGATAGATAGATAGATAGATAGATAGATAGATAGATAGATTACAACATGTGAAACTTCTGTACGTTTTACTTAACGCTGAGAGCAATTACCACTTCCACAATCAGACAAAATATGAAACATTTATTTTTGAAGCAGTGCTGAGAATATATCAGCAGTTCTCCAGAGTGATAGATTTGAGTATGAGTGTAAGTGTGTGAGCGCGGGCGCTGTGGTCTGGCGGATCGGCACACAGATGGCACACTGGCACCGCGTTTATCACTCCGCCATCAATCTGCGACTCGGGCAGTGGCTGCAGGCGTGTGTGTGTGTGTGTGTGTGTGTGCAGACATGCCGGCGCTCCCATCCCGGCCCATCCGGAGTGCGATGGGATTATCTCAGGGGTCAGTGGGGATGTTACAAACCTTTTACAAACCTTGTCTTGTGAGGACTTTTATTATGTTCTGTTTTGTGTTTGTAGTCCTGTGTAGTTCTTCCTGTTGATTAGTTCATGATTGTTCGCAGGTGTGTCTCGTTTCCCCAGTTCTCAGTTATGCTCGTTCGCCCCTGTGTATTCATAGCCCTTGTGTTTCACTTGTTATCTCGTCAGTTGTTGTACATGTATCGGTTGCTTTTGTTCCTCGTGGTTTTGTTCCTTTAATAAATAGATAAATAAATAGTTATTTATCTATTTTTATTTTCGGTTATATTATTATTTTTTTTTAATTTTTAAAGACTGTACTTTCTTATTTAGATAGCTTATTTTAATTATTATTATTATTATTTTATTCCTCTCTTATGCCTTCCACTCATTCCTTTCCTGTTCTGCTAATCACTTATTGTGTGAGTTTTGCTATATTGTATATTCTCCTTCTGCAACCCTTAGTTGGACTAGCACTTCACCGGACCATCATTCGTGGCTAGATCTGGATTTAAAGGGACAAACTGGGATGGCTGGGTGGGGTGGGGGGTATTTTTCATATTGATTAATATCTGTTTAACACAGCCATAATATGTTTGTATACATTTGGTCCAATATGTGCTGTAGAAAATGCCCTTAACTGACCCTGTCGCATAGGTGGTACGTTTGCCATTATATTTTTAAAACCATAATATCTCCATAAAAACCATCAGTAATATTGACAAACGTTATATCATTTGAAAGCTTACAATCTCTTTTTTCCATTTAGCGACTTTCAAAATAAATATTTTAAAAATATTATTATTATTTTTTATTTTCAAAATATTATTTTGATTTTCAAAATAAATTACACAGGAGCCGTAATTTATAAATTTGCAGCAAGAATATTCTCATCGTCCTAAGGCGTGTTTCGACCTTTATTTTGAAATAGTGATGAACGTGAAAATCATGAAAGAATGGTATAACCTCACTTTGTTTTCAAGAGTTCAAAAGATAGCATCCATTCAATTATTTTAGAAAAAAAGGTCTGGAATTTTTTTAAATATTAAGAAAAAAATAATAAATTCACCATTTGGAGTGTGATTTCATAATAATAATAAAATAATAAAATATACTTTATTGTCCCCCAGAGGGGAAATTTGTCTTGGGCTACGGTCACTGCGACACACACTTTCGACAAACCACATAGAATATACACTAAAAATGTCAATTTTTGGCTTTGATTTTTCTGCAGTTTTAGAGTAGCTCAGGTTTTGAAAATATCTATTTTATTTCAAATATGAATATTTATTAATTAAAAAAATAATTTTTTACATTGTACATTTCCATAAACTCAAACTTCTATAACTTTTTTTTTTCTGTTTCACTTTCTTCAATTATTTCTAAATCTGCCAAATGCTTCTTTAAAACAAGACCAACCGTACGTCTATATTCCAAAGCATTCTTGAATTACAACCATTTAAGTTCGAAATGTGCATTTTCATGTTTCAATATTTTAATATTTAAATAAAATTAATATAAAATTATATAATAGGGCACGTTTTGCCGTTTGCGAAGCTCCTCGGCCCCTGATCACCCCCCAGTGTATGGATGAGCATTCTGCTAAACATCTGCTTTTTTCATAATAAGAGTTTAAATAAGAAATTATTTTAAAAAAAGTGTTTCTTTAATATCTCAAATGCATATTCTAGACAACAATGAAATGGAATGGAGAGCCATTGAAGTTGTTTATCCTGATTAGAAATCTCACTTTACTCTAAACTGATGTGTAAAGTTGTGTTTCAGTGTTTTGCCGCCTTCACTTTCCTTTGTGACGCATCATCATCCTCACACACATCTGACACTCCGCCAAAACAATCTTTATAACACGCCATTTTGAGGGCAACAACATGGTTCTCTCTGATCTTAACACACACACACACACACACACACACACACAGAGAACTGACTGCATGAAAGATTGCATTGATTGCCCTCATTCAGTTTAGCAACAAACACACAGTCTCTCTCTCTTTCTCTCTCAACACCAGCGGGCACAGGGCGGTTCACTCCCTCACTGCAGACAGACTGTGACGGCCGTGTGTGTGTGAGGCCATATGTGGCTGTGTGTGTGTGTGTGTGTGTGTGTGTGTGTGAGGCCTCGGGCTCTTACACGTCCTCAGAAAGGCTTCTGTGAGCGAGGCTGCCCCGCAGGAAACCGTGACATTACCTGAGGCGCCACTGGGCCCTCTTACACTTCACAAAGTGAAAAATCACATCAGAGCGTGTGAGCTCACACACACACACACACACACACGCACACACACACACACACACACACACACACACACTCACTCCTTCACTCACTCACTCAATAACTCACTCACACACACACACACACACACACACATATATATGAGAAAAAAGTGAGAATTGTGAGTTTAGATCTTGCAATTAACTTTATTTATTTTATTCCATGGTGTAAACAAGTTTCCACACTACACACACACACACACTAACTACCATTTAAAGGTTTGGGGGTAGAAGAGACTGATGGATGGCTTGATGTTGATTTGATGTTGCTGATCTTTGCAGACGATGATGTCACTTCCTGTAATAGTTTCTTCAGAGTGATTTGAGCCCAAGAACGACAATTTATGATCCGGTTTTCTTGTTTGGTTGTAGAAATCTTTTCCCTTTTCTAGAATCAGCTGTGTGTATTAACATGACAAGCAGATTGACTTGATTTTGATTTTGTCATGTGACATCACTAGATGTGCACTTTACAGATTACGATGTGAATTTCCCACTGTCAATAGTTTCTTCCCCAGGATTCACGTCCAGATGTGTCGTCACACACTTGTGTAATGTGATGTTGTGTCTGTTTTCAGATGCAGCAACAGGAACTCGCCCAAATGAGACAACGAGACGCCAATCTAACGGCACTCGCCGCCATCGGCCCTCGGAAGAAGCGCAAAGTGGACTCGCCAGGAGCCACGACCACAGGCATCGAGGTACAACAGTTAACACTAATCCTCACACACTGAACAAAATTATAAACGCAACAGTTTTGTCTGTTTTTAATGAGCTGAACTCTTTTTCTATGTAATATTGTTCACAAATCTGTCTAAATCTGTGTTAGTGAGCACTTCTCCTTTGCCGTATATTGAATAGTGTCAGAAACGTTTCGTTTTCCAATACAAATATCTAAACATTATTAAATCAAGATACATTTACTCTTGAGAAGCAAAATTACATAAAATATTAAGTCTTGTTTTCTAAAAAATAAATAAATCATTAAAACAAGAAATCAATTGAGCCAAATTCTTGATTTAAGCAAAAACTCACTTAGTTTTGAGACATTTTTGCAGTAAACAAGTCTTAATATTTTATGTAATTTTGCTTCTCAAGAGTAAATGTATCTTGATTTAATAATGTTTGCATACTTCTACTGGAAAACAAGACAAAAACATCAAGTAAGAAAAGGGTTTTTTTAGGGCTGTCAAACGATTAATCGCGATTAATCGCATCCAAAATAAAAGTTTGTGTTTACATAATATATGTGGATGCACTGTGTATAATTATTTTATATATATATATAAATACACACACATGCATGTATATTAAAGAAAAAATATTATTTCTATATAAAATATTTATATTTATATATAATATAAACTATATATAAATCTATATACAGTATAGAAATATTTTTTAAATATATACAAGCATGTGTGTGTGTGTATTTATATATATATATAAAATAATTAGACACAGTGCACCCACATATTGTGTTTATTATGTAAACACAAACTTTTATTTTGAATGCGATTAATCGCGATTAATCGTTTGACAGTCCTAATTTTTTTTTTCTTACAGTGAATTTTGTTGTTGTTATTGTATCGACCAGCTTTAGTGGATCTTACGCTGATCATGATGCATTGTGTGTAATTTGATGTGGTGCTCTCGGGTTTAGTGTTCACTTGTTGCATCGTGAGCGAGCATTGGTCTTTATCCTGAGCAAACATAAACATTTCTCCAGATTCGCACACACAGCATTAACTGGGACACACAGTGAGTGTGTTACACAGTTGTTTGGATGCCGCTCCACATATGGCTACCAGCTCTGCTCTGCGTTACGCGGGATTACGCCGCGCGCACTGTTATATTTCCTCGACATGGTGTTGTACATGAAGTCATTGGGTTTAACTGCATCTGGTGGATGTTTAGCTTTGCTCTTGCCATCAGAAGGCCTGTTCATATTCCCTCAAGGATTTGAATGTTTGAATACGACAAACCGGAAAAAAAACACTTTGTGAATGTCAGCTGGTGTTTTTTAAAACCCTCTCACTGGCATATGTGTGTGTGTGTTTGCCGAGGACAGAAGATCCTGCAGTGAAAGCAGGGCTAACTAAATAAACGCGTTAATTCTGCTCCATGAACACCATCCTGACCTCTTTCACTTTATTGTAAGCGCTCTGATGTCAAGACGAACTGTGAAATGTGTGTACACACACAGATACAGCGCTCATGAGTCGCACTCACACTTCACTGTTGTTTTACCACCCATTAAAGTCGCCTTAATTTGACTATTTTGACACAGAAAAAGACTGTTTGTCAAATAAAAAACAGATCGTTGCAATTGATCAAATAATTGCTGAAATGAAATCTTGAATAATAGTGCTGTCAAACGATTAATCGCGATTAATCGCATCCAAAATAAAAGTTTGTTTACATAATATATGTGGGTGCACTGTGTATAATTATTTTATATATATATAAATAAATACACACACATGCTTTTATATATTTAAGAAATATTTCATGTATATACTGGATATAGATTTAAATATAATTTATATTACATATTTAAATATAAATATTTTATAAATAAATAATATTTTTTTCTTAAATAAACATGTGTGTGTATTTATATGTATACAAAATAATTATACACAGTGCACCCACATATATAATGTAAACACAAACTTTTATTTCGGATAATTTTTATTTTGGCCTAATTTCCTCTTTGTTTTTAATATTTAATAGCACATCTAATCGCTGGTGCCGCCAATTGACAACACACTGCAAATAAATCACAAAAAATCTGTATTTTTGTCTTGTCTTCCAGTAAATATCTAAACATTCTTGGCAAGCAGCATTAATTAGTTAATTAGGATATACTGTAAATATTTAATTTTTCCGTTCAAAAGTTTAAGGCTGGTAAGATTTTGAAAAAAAGTGTTTTGTTCTCACCAAAGCTGCTTTTATATGATCATAAATTCAGTAAAAAATAGTGATATATTATTACAATTTAAAATAGCTTTTTTCTATGTGAATGTATAGTAAAGTGTAATTTATTTCTGTGAATTTTCAGCATCATTACTCCAGTCTTCAGTGTCACATGATCCTTCAGAAATCACTCTAATATGATGATCTGATGCTCAAGAAACATTTATGATTATTATCAGTGTTGAAAACAGTTGTGCTGCTTCATACATTTGTGTGAACTGTGATCACGCCGGATTCTTTGTTGAATAGAATTAAAATATAAATCTTTTTTCACATCTTTACTGTCACCTCTGATCAATTGAAGGCATCCTTGCTGAATAAAAGTTTTAATTTGACCCCATCTTTTGAATGGTATTGTATATAGTCACAGCTAAAGGGCATTATGAATATAATGACTCAGTGCCGTACAATCACCATCTGATACCAGTTCCATGATGGTTTTGCTATTGGTCTCGGCTGGTTTCTGTTTAATTGTAGGGTTTTTCCATGGGAATGCCGCCCATCTGACCACCTCTCATGATCACGAAAGAAGAGAAGAGAAGTGCAGGATAGATGGAGGGAGGAATCTTAACTTATTTTCACTTTATTTTCACCTCCCCTCATTTCGGCGTGCCGCCCTGGGGCGTTTTCTCTGCTTTCTCCAGAGCAAAGTGAATGTGACTTTTCTAAGGGGGTCACGGAGTGGCTGCGGGCTACGGCTTCTCTGAGACTCACTCTGGGGTTCGGCAGAGATCTCATCTGCGCGTGAATGTGCCTCGGGCTCCAGCTCAGGGTGAGCTGAACCGCTTCACTCCAGGTCTTCTGATTGTCGCAGTATCCGGTCTGTGTTCTGCGGCGTTCTTCCCAAACAAAAGCTTCCCAGTGTCCGGAAACACCCGACAAACCCAGACGGAGTAATGTCGGAGATGTGGTTTCAAGCAGGGTTATTATAGTAACTAAAACTATGACCTGAAAAAACATTGAAACTGAAATAATACAAAATATTAAACATTATATGAAATCTAAACTAATAAAAATGACAAAAGCACACAAAAAATGACTAAAACTTGAATGAAATTTAGATGAAAACAGAAAATATTGAAATATTAATAAAAACTATAATAGTATTTTAAATAAGTGGTTTAAAATGGGTTCTGCCTAAAACATTTTTCATGGAGAGTTCATGGATTTTTCATTTATGATTTATTTATGACCCTATGATGTCATTTATTACTTATAACATTTTAATGGCTAGAAATCACATAAATGAGTCAATGGATGTCATGTAGTAAGAGTATAAAGTGTATTGGTAACACTTTACAGTAACCTTCATTAGTTAACTTTAGTTAATGTATTAACTAGCATGACCTAACAATGAGAAATATATATATGTATAGCAAATACATAGAGTATTCATTAATATTTGTTAATATTAGTTAATACAAACAGAGCTGTTCATTGTTTGTTCATGTTAGTTCACAGTGCATTATGATAACAAATACAACCTTTGATTTTAGTAACTTATTAGTAAATGTTGAAATTAATATCATGTTTAGCAGGGTGTTTCTATGGTATTCTGGGTGGTTACTAGGGCATTGCTATGTGTTTGTATAGTTGCCAGGGTGTTTCTAGGGTATTCTGGGTGGTTTCTATGGTGTTGCTAGGTGTTTGCGTGGTTGTCAGGTTGTTTCTAGTATATTCTGTGTAGTTGTTAGGGCATTGTTTGGTGTTTGAGGGGTTGCCAAGGGTGTTTCTAAGGTTTTCTGGGTGGTTAATAGGGCATTGATAGGAGTTTGCGTAGTAGGGTGTTTCTATGGTATTCTGGGTGGTTACTTGGGTGTTGCTAGGTGTTTGGGTGCTTGCCAGGGTTTTTCTATGGTATTCTGGGTGGTTACTAGGGCGTTGCTAGGTGTTTGTGTAGTTGCCAGGCTGTTTCTATGGTATTCTGGGTGGTTACTAGGGTGTTGCTAGGTGTTTGTGTAGTTGCCAGGTGTTTCTAGGGTATTCGGGGTGGTTTATATGGTGTTGCTATGGTGGTTGTCAGGGTGTTTTTAGTATATTCTGTGTAGTTGTTAGGGCATTGTTAGTTGTTTGGGTGTTTGCCAAGGGTGTTTCTAGGGTATTCTGGGTGGTTAATAGGGCGTTGCTAGGGGTTTGTATAGTTGCCAGGCTGTTTCTATGGTATTCTGGGTGGTTACTTGGGTGTTGCTATGTGTGTTGATGCCAATATTAACTAATATTAATAAATGCTGTAGAAGTATTGTTAATTCTTAGTGCATGTTAAATAAAGTAGGTAACTATGTTGTTAAGTAATTAACCTTATTCTTTAATTGTTACCAGTGCATTTGTTCTGAGATTTTTGACTTTTGATTAGACTAGAAATCTGAGATTATGGGGTCTTTTATGATAGCTTGATGATGGTATTTTGCCGTTCTTGAAGTGTGTTCGCTGCAATATTCTTCATAACTTCTCCTTTTAGGTAATCGACTTGAGGATTTCTTCACTTTTGGGTGAAGTGCTCCTTTACAGAGATCTTATTTGTGATGTTTCTGTCCTGTGTGTTACCCTGAAACGGCCCGTCAGAGTGTGTGTGTGACTGAAATCAGGTAACGCTGGTGGCGGGGCGACTGTGTGTGTTTCTTCCTCCTCCTTCACCCCTCCTCTCCTCTCGTCTGGCCAGGCCTCAGATCGCCGTAGGGCTGAACCTGATAGCCCATGTTGAGCGTAAAGTCTGTCTTCATCC